TTTCATTGCAGAAAGGTTCCCCACATTAGCCCTTATGGCGATGCATGCCATAGTAGTTTTGCAGGCGGTCAATGAGGGCATCACTGAGCTTTCCCTTACCACAGAGTCCACGCACTGTCTTCTTCAGTTTTCTGAGGCGGCAGCCAACACGCTTCTGGACATGCCCAATACATTCCAGTTTCTGCACACTGTCCTTTCCATACATGTCTGACAACGGCATAGCTCTTGGAATCACCATCGCCGTAGTACTGCAGGTACTTCAAATCTCTTGTGCCTTTCGACCTTTCAAATATTCGGTATAGACCAACCGTCTCCATACTGCCAGCACTTCCTGCATGGTTTGCTTGACAGGAAGTATGGTTTGCCTTCCATTCCTGGTACGAAGCACTATTTTGCCTCAACTTGCTTTTGGTTTTACAAGACTTACACGAACTAGAAAGGGCCTCAACATCAATAACCTTTCCCATGTCAACAGAAATCACAGACACACAACCGTTCAAAGATGAATGGCCACGCTTCTGCCACATGCCATCTTCTGAAACACCACACTCGGCACTCCCTACAACACGACGAACTTCCACAGCAGCATCAGTCATCGACTTCGACGCCACTTCTCCTGCCGCTGCAGAAAGCCGATATGACAATTTGTCGAAGGCGGAGTGACGTGGAGGAGCAGGCATGTTCATCACTTTGGAAAAAGTTTTTGCACCAGTGTGCTTTTTTCCTAACTGGCGCATCGCGTAAACCAGACGTAAATTGTTCTCATTGGCACGACCCATCTTTCTCGACGTATGAAATGGGCACTTGAACCCACAGTCGGTACACACGACCGCACAAGCCGAGCATATCCTATGGTGAGATCGTTCCTTGAGCTTCAGTCTTGTGTTCATGCATTTGGAACATGTCAGCGATTAAAACACTGAAGAAAGAATACCAATGTCCATTATCCTATTCCCTTGGAGCGCAGAATTGTCTAGTGGAGCCTGGTATGACTTGTCTACGTCCCCAAGCTTCTTCGCAGTCGCCGAAATACTGGCGTCTGTGTCAGTAGGCAGCCTCGTCGTCGTGTAGCGATTTTTAGCAAACTTGCGTTTCCTCGTTTTCTGTGTTCTGCACTTCCCCATGCTGGTCGTAATATGGTCCAGGTGGCCTAAGGATACAGCCCTAGTAGCGTTGACACGTGGAACAAATGCAGAACGAAGCCTGACGTAGCCTGACCAAGGCAAACAACAAAAATTCCGGCGAGCATTGTGCGTCCCCCTTGTGGCTGTTGTTAGAGATTAACGAAGACTTTTAAACACAAAGTTGTATTTAATGACATCATCTTATATAACAGTCAATAAAATGCATAAAGTATTTTGAATAGCATTAATATAGACGAAACAACACTTGCTTCTGAAAGCGATTTTTCGAAACCGAAACCACAGTTGGAAATGTGGTTTCTGTTTTGCTATAGGAGCATAGGGTATGGAAAACTTGCTGTAACTCGCAACCTAATGACACTAGCAGGATAATTTTTGTTGCAACATATATGTGGATGTTTGGGCGTGCAAGAAAAACAAAACCCTAAAAATTTATTTAGCAAAAAAAAAACTTTTGAAGGTGCCCTACCACCTTAACACTGCAACTTTTTTCACCCACACTAACATGTTCAAATACAGCTTTTTCCCTTCAACTATAGAAGCCTGGAATTTGCTGCCCGGAAGTGTTCGCTCTCTACCACTTCAGGAATTTCTGGAAGCCTGTTCATGAATGTTGATTTTTGTTGTTTTTTCCCACTCCTGCAATAGCCTCATTGAGGCTCCGGTATGTAAAAATAAATAAATAAATATAGCCCAAATTGTTAATGGACAGCTTTTTGAAAGGTTGGTTCTAAAAAATATTGAGATAAAACAATTGCCGTGTACACCTAACTATGTAGTGCGCTTCACAAACATGAACTGCTCCAGCGTGAGCACTGGACGCAAAAGTCTGTGTGTGGTAGTGCTTCACTAGCCGCCAACAAGTACGGCGACTTTCCACCCGGCCCTTTGTTTACCCGAAAACAGAGCGAACTTGGGTTTTCTTTGACACAAATCGTCTCGTGAGGACTCGAGGGAGACGCTGCCTTGGCTGTAGTTACGTGCGCTTTCCCGGTTCAGGCGGTTTCCGAACTAATGCTTTCAAAAAGTTTATTCAAGTTCTGCACGCATACGGAGGCGGCTTGCATACAGTTCACCGTGTACGACTGCGCACTGCGCTGACCTACAAACATACACCGACAGAGTTTCAAGCAAAGGCGCCTATGTGTCTAGAAGGGGGGACATGAAGCGGGGAGTATGAGCTGAGAGGGCTCGCAAGCTGGTATACGGAAGCTTGCAGAGAACGAAAGCACCGTGCCAGCGTTAGTACGCATAACTTAGAGAAGCGTTGTTTCAAATATACGTCCAAGTCGCCGATAGTGACATAGCCCAATAGCCCTAAGATGTGAAGGGTGGAGAGACAGCAGGCGGCTGAGGCCCCGCTGAGGGGAAAAAAACGCAAGGCGTAAAAGAAGAGGGGGGGGGAGCTGCCTTAGTAGTTTCACTCGCCTACGGTTAGGCAAAGAATCGAAACAAACTTAGGAGGAACCCAGTTGATATAAGGACAGAATTGTAATAACGTCCTAAAACCACCATATGACTATGAGAAACGCCGTAGTGGAGGGCTCCGGAAATTTCGACTACCTAGGGTTCTTTACCGTTCACCTAAATATAAGCACACAAGCCTCAAGCATTTCTGCCTCTATCGAAACTGCGGTCGCCATGGCCACGACTCAATCCCACGACCTGCGGGTCACCAGCCAAGTGTCTTAGCCACTACACCGCCGTGGCCGGTTTAGTAGGCGCGTTGGTTATAGATATACCGTGCTTGTAATCAGCCAAGCCATTTGAAAATTGCTGATTTATAGCTGAATTTAAGGCTCTAATTCACTAATGTTTGAAGTTTGAAAAACAGCATGTGGACGAAAACCTGCTCTACTTTCAGAAATAGATGCAACTCCATTCCTATTCCTCCAAGCATCGTCCCCATTCCAACTTTATGGGTTGCAAAAATAAGGAATGATTCCAGAATTATTCCATATCCGGAGTGGCAACTCCGCAACACTGCTGTGTACTGGTTAGCAGCGATAATATGTAGAAGAATAATGGACGTTTCGTACACAACATCTGCCCTACTATGCCTGCCATCACTTACCACGAAATTTTAATTTCAATGTAATCAAAAAATTAGGATAGGTATAAATACACTCTAAAAAATATCGAGTAAAAAGGGTGCCTTTTGTCTCACAACAATAATCGTCATCAAGCTTGCGTGCGCTTTCTTTCTTGAAAACTCTGCGCTGGCCACTTTCCTATCGAGAATGCAATGTAACCCTGATAATGGGCACGTCGATCATGACCGGAATGTACCGGGCGCGGGGCGATAGCGCAAGGATGAAATGCAATATAGATGACGATTATTGTTGTGGGACAAAAAAAAACACCCTTTTTACTCGCTCTTTTTTTAGAGTTTATTTCTTGAGTGTCACGATTACTGCAGGACATACGATGGTGTTTTAGAGAGATGTGGCGATGTATGTGGATTAGTAGTTACCTAGTTAAAGAGACCGAGGAAGCATTCCTGGTTAGTAACGGCAAAAGTTTCAAGCTTTACTAGCTGCTGGCTATAGTTAAGAAATGCCGCAAAGGAGGTAAAATACACTCGAAACAAGTAAATGCATGCGTTGCCAACTGTTTACAACCTTTTTCTTTTTAAGATTGTGCTGACCATGCAAACGTCATAGGTGGCAGGAGAACTGCCCTTCTGGAAACTTGTGGTTGTACTGCACGATGTAAGTCACCGAGCCATTATCCCTTGACTGTGGTAACATGTTAAGTGTATTTCTACAGTTTTTATTCATCTGATGACATCAGCCTTATGTTGTTGCGATCATTCATAGCCCAATAAAGCTATCAAGATATGTCTTTCCTAATTTGAGGAATGGGCTAAGTTTTTTCATTCCAAGGAACTGAAAACAATGGAATTATGGCAAGTGCGATTCCCCAGAATGGAATTGGAATGGAGGTGCCCATTTCGCAAGACTGCTGTATACAACATTTGCAACACATTGAACACATACTGACAGGTTTCTTGTTGCAATGAACACAGTCACAGGTGCGGTTTTTTTTTACCCGACTACCCAGCCTGAGCAGGTTGTAAGTGCGGAAACAGGAATTTACAAAAACTGAACTCCAAATATCCTCCAAAAAATTGACTCTGAGAGACACCCTCCAAACTTCAATAAAGAGAAGCTCTAAAAAGATGGAGCCCTATCTTTAGGCCAAAAGTAGCAAGCTGCTAAGTGACTAAGTTTAGGAGCCGCTGGCTACTAAAAAAAATGGCAAATGTGCTACATGGTGGACTTTCCCGCTCCCAAGCACAACAAACAAAAATTGGTCTCAGCTGTTCACAGCAGAGTCTGCCGTTTCTGACAAATTTATTCGCCAGAGGGATGATTAGAAGCCTTAGTCAAAAAAAGATTCGTCGCGAGTAGGCGCTCCCGAATTCGGGATCGATGGTCTCTTCCAGCAAACGTTACTACGAATTTTTGCTTCAACATGCTCCACAGGCATGCTAAAAAATTGATTCAACAGCAATAACATTGATGCATGTAGCAAGAAATTCTGCAGGCTAGCAAAAAAAAGAGGATAAGTAACATTAAAGGTAGCTGAGATACTCTGAGGATAGCTTCATGAGAGAAAAAAGTTTTGCAGCCTTAGTTGGGAGCACAGCAAGCACCCTAATAATAAATTAATAATACAGTAGAACCCCTTTATAACAGACACTGATGCAAGAGATAAATGGGGATAAGAGACACCAGAGCATTTACTTTAAAATAGATTTTGAACAAAATGCATATGAGATACCTGCTTATAAGAGACATCTCATATAAAAGACAAGAATACTGTAGTATGCATGCATGCATGTATCACACCCACCTCCGGGTTTACAACAGGTAGATGGTGGTGGTTTTCTGAATACTGAGCTGGTGGATACACCTGTTGAGGCTGCATGTAGAGCGGCTGTACTGGCAATGTCTCCTGCATTGGGCTGACCAAGGTTGGCTGCGCTTCGAGGGTGTCGGCACAACTTGGAAGACCCGCTACATGTTAAAATAAAAAGCAAACAAGCTTATTTGATTGCATTAAAGGAACACAATGCCACAACACCATTTAAGTTAATCCTGGTAGAACAATTTATAAGCAAGCATCAGTACCATGTTCGGCAAAAAGAGCTTTTTGCTACAATAACACCTTGATAATTGAAACTCCTAGGTACAAACCTTACTTAATTCAAGGATTTATGGAGCCCCATACTTTAATGCAACAGTGTTAAAGGGCCACTCACCACGCCCCACACCAAACTTTAGTTAGACCATGGAAGTTGTTGGGTGTCCGATCAGGAACATTTTGCCACAAGAATTTTTTTAATCGGCTCATTACGAGCCAAGAAAACTTTTTTTTTTTTGAAGCGGCGCGAAACGAGGATGAGAGGAGGAGAGCTCGAAATTCTTGCCTCTCCTCCGCGTAGCCTTCGAGAGCCGAATCTCTTCCTTACTCTCTCTGCATCTGACCAAGAGGTCACGTGCCCATGACGTGCCCAAACAAGCCCAACCCCCGTGCACGCGAGCGGCTTTTATTTACTTATTTTGACCAGCGTTGTTTTGAAGTGTACTGCCCATTTCTGCGGGATGGTTTGGAAAAGCTGGCTTAGATGCAGCAGAATAGATGATCACAATGAGTGCGCAAACGCGTAGGAGCGTGCCACGACTGTTGTCTGCTCGATTCTCTGACCACGGGGACACGAACGAATGCGAAACGTAGGCACATAAAGCCCCACATCTCGTTGCATTTCAAGGAAAAAATGAAAGGAAGACACGCACATTTCCTTAGTGTGTCTCATTATTTATGTCAAGTTTTATTCATCTATTAGAGCAACAAAATACATAAACTACGCATGTCATCTTAAAGAATTCAAGCCATGTCACGTGGTATACTGTTGACGTCAGAGCAGAGTTGTCTACGTAGATGACCAACGTGACTGCATTGCCATATACATAGAGCCATTCACACACGCACGTCATGCCCTCATTCTCTAGGCGCGTGCCCACAAGAGGAAGGGGGAACAGCGTTCATCTTGAAATTTGACCCATATTCGCAGCACGTAGCATTGCTAATTTTGGCAGAAATGATCATGAACGCCTCATCTATGCATTGCGCTTGTCAGCTCAAAATTGTCAAACCTGGTGAGTGGCCCTTTAAAGACGCTCAAGTCAGAACAGTTTTGGTGTCTGCATAAGTGGTGAGCAAGAAATTGCACATTTCAACAATAATCAGAAGTTCAAGCCGAAATTGAACTAAGGCCTTCCACAGAACTATGCCAGTACTATAAACTGCTCAATGTGAACACCCAATACAGGCATAACGTATTGTTAGGAGGGGCTCAATACATGTAAAATTGCACCAAGTGTCACATCATGTCAACTGTGCCACCAGCCCTGAACCATCCCTTAAACTTAGTGAGAAAAAACATTTACTGAGTAAAGAACACACTGTTGTAAACAGCTCAGCCAATTATTGCCCTGCGCACACTTTTAAGCACGAGTCCATATACAATGAACTAGTCACATAACGAATATTGTATTCAGAGCAAGAGAGAACGACAGGCACTGACTACTCAGCAGCATTCCAATATTGCATAACAGTCTCTTACGTTGCTCAGAGGGCAATGCGTCAGTATCCAGGCAGTGTTCCTCATCTTGCCAAGGCAACTGCAAGGATAATTCACATATGTAATACACTGGAAAAACGTGAATGAAATTCTATATTTCATTACTAACATAGAAAATGATTTCACAGTTGACAGATATGTTGATTTTAAACAGTTGAAATATTAAAGCTTGATAAGGCAAAAGTGGAACTAAATTTCAGACAAACATTGAAGTTCTTTTCGAAAAGTGGTGAAATACCATAAATGACACTAAAGGCAACAATTAAGTTGCCGTTGATTGTTTAAATAGTGGTCCAGAAACTTCGTAATGTTACTTTTGTGCCAAGGAAGTGCTTATTTTGAAATAAAATCACATTTTAGTGGTCTGCATCGGGTTAGCGCACTTCAAATTACTTGCCTTAAAAAGCGGAACATCACTGTTGCCGTGCACAACGTTGCCCAGCTTTACTGCGCGGCCACCGAAACTAGTAGCAGTAAAATGAAGGTAGCGGGAGCCACAGCCGCAACAACGGCCATTGATCAATTTCCTTCCATTGGCTCCGAAATGGCAGACGTGTTTTGGTTCAACCGCACCCCACTAAATGGCACCTGTTTTGGTTCAACCGCACCCCACTTAATGGCACCACCTGTCCTGTGTAGCCATGCAAAAATTAAAATTTTGAACCACTCGTGCCATTCCCCATAGTAACGTCCGGTGGTTCTTTTTTCCATGAATCAAGCAGAAACGAACAAGCAGCATTTTATTGCATCTCTTGATGTACGGAAGGCTCTTTATTTAGTGCAATTGGATCGATTACTAGTGATTAATTGCAGGCGGTTTGTCTGACATCATCGAGATTATTTTGAGAATGTCCTATCGTAGCGCATGTGTTCACCTGCATTTACCTTAATTTCTCAGTAAGTAGGACATTGCTGTTGATAATATTCTTGTTTCAGAGGTTGTCATACATTGAGCTTTCACTCTCACGTAAATTATTATTATACTTAGTGTCCCTTTAAAAGACTCCTGACACCTAATTTTGAAACTTGAGATGCTTCTGTTTGACAGTCTTGTGCGTGGGACAGTCGCCAATTATTAGTGACAAGCATTGCCTATACGATCATTTGGTTTTTAATTAAGGGTGAGTGTATCAACATCTCTAGTTTGACATAGACAGAGGACCCGTTTGACAATCCACATTGCTATTAAAGCAACTATTGTTAACGTCTGAGATCATTTCAGGGGCACACACAATACGCCAACTGGCACCCAGCGACGACTATTGTTTGTCCACCTCTTTTTGCTCTGTTGTCAGGCTGCTCTCAATGTGGCTTTGGCTGCATACGCCAGGAATGCTTCTTTTTTTTCCTTCTCTGGGAAACGCTTAAAAGCCCCCCCCCCCCCCCCCCCACATATCACAAGATTTGAAAACAGCGTGTTCAGCATCGCCAAAGATTGAGCGCACATACTCTCAGCCCCCCATGTGAGACACCAATTTTTTATGGTGTTTAGACAAGCATTTCAAATTGACATAAAATTGTTCTGAATTATGGATGCTAACATTATTATTACCATGCATTAATGCATTCATGATTCAATTTCAGGATTACCAGATGCAAAGCTACAAATTATTGTAAAATAAATAAATAATACAACTTTCCCTGTCAGAGGTCATTGAAATCACAACCATCACCAAAGAACACTGCCAATACATTGAAGCTTGAGGAGGTGCTGACACCCCCTGTGAAGTTGTTTGTGCCGCGTGGCACATGTGTCTCGCCCAAAGCCGCATTTCGGGGTGACAACCATTGGGTGGTAGGTGGCGTATTCGCGTTGAGCACCACTATCATCATCACCATCATGGCGTAGCGCCGGCGGTGACCCCTGGCGGAAAGCAAGCCTTGGTTGCGGGCAAGAGCTGAACGAGCCTCTTCTGCGTGTGGCGGTTGTCGCGAACGGTTGTCTCTCGCGATGGCTCTGCCGTGGACGGCACCACGGGCCGCCTGCGGTAGGCCCACGTGGTGAGTGAAGCGTTGGCGACGCCGCCTTTTGTGTGCTCTTGTGTTAATTTGTTTGAGTGTATGGTAATTCTGTGTAAAGATGACTTAGCCTGTTAATTACGATTGATGTATCGATTTGGCGGAGGATATCGTCGTTCTAAAGTAGTTAAATAAATGTATGTTGTTCTTTGGTTTGTACTGACCGTGTCAGCGGTGTCCGTTCACTCCAAGAGCGTGGCGTGGCGCTCGCTCGCCATTTCGAGACCCCACAAGCTTAACTTGAGTGACACACTTTCTTGATCTCTACACTAGATTCAGGAACTTACCTCGACACAGCCGCTCCCATTCTTTAAGGCCTCATTTAGAATTTGAACATCATCTTCGGGCAAATCATCCCAGTTGAAAAACTCCAGGCTCTATAAAAAAAAAAAAAAGAGGGAAACTACTTATAGCACAGCAGGTTTCGTTTTTGATCTTATCAAACATTCAAAAGGAAAGGGAGTGTACAGGCATGTGCTGCCTAGTCCATAGCCCTTTCCCTTCTCTCCAGTCACCAACTATGACACACCACCACAACACATTTAAATTGATACTCTTGAATGCAAGATTCAAATAATGTCAGTGGCTTCGGGTGCCAGCCTTTCCACAATATGTGCATATATAAATATCCCCCCCCCCCCCCCAACGGGGATACAATCAGCTTATGTTGACTGGGAAGGCAGGCCCTTTGTGAGGGGGGGGGCATACAAACCTCAGAACAGCCCTCTAATTTTTGTTTATAAATTGTTTTTATAGCATTAAAGAGTGAGCGATATCGAATAAAGAGGAGAACGCAGACAGAATTATAAAAATGATTACACTGGAATTGAAGTCAATGCCCCTGAATGTTCAAAGACCGAGCCGGCAATGAGAAAATGTTTAGCAAATCGCACCCGATGTAGGCCATTGCATCGTGTGCTTGCAGTCATGTAGCAATTGCTTTCAGACCACCATATTTAAAAGGGTTATGAATGGAGCACCATGTTTTCGGATTAATCCAAAAAAATCCGATCAACATCCTCCAGTAAAATTTCTGTCAATTATGATTTATCCGATAAACTTCGTATATTCATACAGTGTTCTGCAAGTTCAAAGGACATTTTCAAAGCTGAGAATCATTCTTCGAAAGGAGAGTACCTCCATCAGTGGCAGTAACTTCGTAAAGTATGCTCGAGTTATATTATAACAAGCTTTAAAGTTACAACACCAAACGTAGATGTTCAATACTAAAGTATTTATGCTTGTGTGCATACCTGTTTCTACAGTCCAAGCCTTCAAATCGTATAAAATATACTTACTGGGTTCGCATAATATCATGGTCCAATATCATTTCATGCAAGATTTTGGTGTATTGAAAATAATAAATATGTCTTATTTTTCATCAAGAAGATGACTAGTAAAAAAAACCAAGGTGCAGCTTGACTAGCTCCAGGCCTCTAAAAGTACCCTCGGGCGATTATCCAGTGGTGCACATGAATGGACTTATCAACAGAGTTAATCAACAGCACACGAGAAAAATGTAAATGGACAATAAGGATTATCAGCAACCAAGCAAAGCAATTTCACTGGAAATGATAATTCAAAAGACCAAGTTTGAACAACTTATAATGCAAAATTAAATGCTGAATTTAAGAAAATTCAGGATTTACCCCATAGTAAACTGTCACAAATTCCAATTTTTTCCCCAGAAAGATGAACTAAAAAAATTAACCGAACTTCAAGAAAAATAAACTCCGAAAACACGGAGCCCTAGTTATGAATAGGCCCTAAGGCTTAGTGAGAAAGCACATTCTGCAGAAAGCAGACACTGCTAGGAACAACTCAGCCAAGTCTTATGGTCAAGCATAGCAAGAGGAGTATAGAAGTGGAACGTAAGTTACCATTTTATCAAGCATGCTCTCTTCATGCATCCATCCTCCAAATTTTTTATGGTGGGACACCTGCTGTTTGAGATGAAACAACAAATAGCATGCTATTTATTGGCCAATAGCCAACATAAAGAAAGAGTAACATTTGGACATGCATTTTTTGCACAGGGTGCCACCATGAGTGGGCCCCGCACTGCATAGTGTGTGCTAACATAGTGGGGCACACATGCATTGTTGAGAAACGACGGACCGATCCCGCCGAAGCCACCACTGTTGCGAAAGACGGCGACGCCAACACGGCCCCGGAGGCGCCACTGCTTTCAACTCCGCCGGGAAGGTCACCAGCCGTTTGGTAGCGTATGTTTCTCAGCTCGCGACTGCTTCTGCGCAGAGCTGAGGAGACGAGCGGACGAGACGACGGTGAGTTAAACAAGGTTTATGTACAGCATATATACAGAGGCATTACAATTTCGGCACTGGGGCCGGCAGAGACTCGAAGAGCCGAGCTCCTCTCTCTAACACATAGGTCAGCCTTTCGCCTAAAACCGCCGACTCACACACATGTCGGCACTCCGACACGGGGACTCCTCTCCTAGGATCTCCGATCGCGACGCGCCGCAGGGCTTCTTTTATTTACACCGGGCCCAACTAAAATGTCCAATCAGAAGCGCCGCTGGTCTTCCGAGCAGGCTCCTCCAATGGGGTTCGCCGCGCGATGCGTCAGGCCACCAGACATGAGGACGCCGGCTCGCTGTCACGTGCGCAACTGACTCAATGCACGTGGGCCACAGATGCGCCGCGCGTGTTCACGCCGTGGAGTTGATCGCGCCCGGCGGGCTGCGGGCTGGCCTTGACCCAGATTGCCTGTTTCAGAGGCACGGACGTTTGACGAGGACTCGCTGGCATAACAGCACCCCCGCCGCCAGACAATGCACCGGAAAGACGAGCTGCTTCCACGGGGCTCGGATGTCAGGTGCGCTCGTTCGCCTGGTCCCTCCAGGTTCGCCTCCATGGCCATGGGGAGAATACAGCTCCAGACTGTTCCGGGAACACATCCCATTTTGACGACGGATCCCAGCTCCACGGGCTTGTCGCCACAACTTGCTGGCCAACTTCGCTCGTCTCTTCCGACCATCTTCGGTTTCAGCACTTGTCGATGGTTCTGCAACTTGCTAAGAACGGTTCGACAACAGACAACACACGACACAAGCAAGTGCCCTCGGTCACCCGACAGAACACCAGACAAAGTATAGAACAACATATACCTATCTACGTGTCTATCGGAATTTCGTTCCCTCTACATCAAGAGGCACATGTGGGACAAAAGACTCCTAAAGTAAGAACTTGAATTTTTCACAATTACAACCCCGCAACGAATTAGAATACCACATAAAGTTGGCCCCTTGAGAGCACTCTGAACGAGAGCGCTCGGCCCAGGTCGTGATGAGGTCAAAATTTTGCCCCGAATCGCCAGCCAGAAACCGAAAGGTTGAGAAAGTACTAGCTAGAACGCACTGCTCAATGCACCTGCATTAGCGTTTAGCTTTCCCTTTCTTTTTTTTTTTTTATATAGCGAACGTCAAAGTTGCGCTGTGGAGCAACATGCTCCACCTCAGTAACCGGCCACTTTTAGGCGGCGATACCTATGCGGCACCAAGAGCGGCTCACACTTGCGACGTTGCACAGGGGAACAACGATACGGCTTGCTACTGATTGACTCCTCACCGCTTAGCTCGATATCGTGTTCGATCACCCTCATGTTTCCGGGGCAGTCCGAAAACACGTCTTCAAACTCGGAACCAATCTTTCTCAGGTCCTCTTTCTCAGGTCCTCCTTCACTTAAGCTAGGCTCTAGGTTTATCTGCTCCCGGATTACTTTCGATCCCCCTTCAATTACCTCACTAGAACTCCAAATTTCTGCTCCCTCTTCCTCTGAAGCATTCAACAGCTGATTTACGACCGCTTGATGTTGAACCTTGGGTTTCATCAAGTTGTAAATTTTGTTCTGCCGCCTTCCTAATTTCACCTCAGAATTCGTATCGGGAAGCTTCGATATTACATTGGCAGGCCCTTCCCAATCAACCTCAAGCTTGTTCTTTTTGAACGGCTGCAGCAGCATTACCTGACTTCCTACTTCAAAAGCGCGTTTCTTCACAGATTTCTCGTAGTGCTCCTTCGACAGCACTTTTGCCGCGTTTTTCTGGCTTTCCACTCGCGCTTCAATTTGGCTTTCCACTAGCGCTTCAATCGAGAGATCCTCACGCTGCCCTCGAATGAGCGTCTCTCGATCAACTCTCGGCAGCTCGCTCCAACTTTCCGCTACAGGCGAGAGCGTTGCAACCCTCTCGCTCTGACTCAATGGCGCCACGTCGTCTCCCCTTTCTCCGGAAACCGCGCTGGTCGTGTCGGCGACGGGCCGCTCGCGTGACTGCTCACATGACTCATGCGGAAACTTTCCTTTCTGGGGTTCCGTCGACCCGCCGACAAGGTCACTTGAGAGTTCACCGCCTGGAACCAGATCAAGCTGCCGCGATAGCTTCCGCGCTTGCGATCGCGTGAGAGCCATGCACGCTAAGTCAGGGAAGAACGATTTGCCCTGCTCTTTGAGAAGCTGCTCCGAGTTGTTGGAGAAAAGATAAGGAAAACGATCGTTCAGCGCGGCAGACACAGCTGCTTCGGTGCAAAGCTTACCGAACGGGCCTTCAATGACAACGGTGGCGATTGGTAAGCGAACACTCTGCTCCTCGGCGACTTGCCTGATCCACGCGCATTCTCCTGTGAAGTCATCCGGAGACACCAATGAAGGATGGACAACGTCCATGGTTGCCGCTGAGTCTCTAAGTGCTCGGCACGTTTTCTTATTCACCCTAATTTCTTGGAGATACGGCTCCAACAACCGAATGTTTTTCTCTGATTCTCGGATCGTTGCGAAGGCAAACTTTTCCTGACAGTTTCTCGCGATGTGCCCTTCCTTTTTACAGTTGTAGCAGATTAGCGGCTTCCGTTTGTTTTCCGATTCAAATGCCTGTGTGGTAGAAACCTCACTCGATTTCTCCGCTTCTGCTTGCCCTTCCCCTACACTGTCCTTAGTAAGAGATGGGTCCTTTTTGAAATTACGGTGCGGAACGGGTTTCCGTTGATCAGGTTTCCTTGAAAAGCCCTCTTTTCTCTCATCTTTTTCAACGCGCACTGCCCTGCTGTGCAACTTTCGGCGAGTATAATACTCCTCAGCTAACTCTGCTGCCTTGTTTAGCTGTACTTCACTAAGTCTGTCCTGCAGCCAAAGTCTGACATTATCCTCGATGCAGCGGTAGAACTGCTCCAGTGCAACGCATTCCACCACTTTATCGCGATCATCATAAACACCTTCGCCCTTGAGCCATTCAATCAAATCGGCTTTAAGACGAAACGCGAAGTCAACGTGTGACTCATTCCCCTTTTCAGCATACCGGAACCTTTGCCTGAAAGCCTCGGGTGACAACTTATAACGTCTCAAGAGCACTTCCTTAACCTCGTCATAGCTCTCAAACGCTTCCCTCGACAAGCAAGTTATCGCGTCGGACACTTCGCCGGGAAGAAGAGCTAGCAGGTTCCGCGCCCAAAGAGACCGCTCCAAAGCGTTTCGCTCACAGACGTGTTCAAACTTGACGAGATACTTCGCCATGTCCTCGCCTACTACGAACGGTGGCAGTTGATCCCGAATTCTAATACCGCTGACCTGACTCGTCGGAGAAGCTACGCTAGGCGCCTGCGAACACTGTAGGATTGCCAATTCTAGTCGTTTCAACTCTAGGCGCTCTTGTCTCTCGGCCTCCTCGCGACGTTCGCGCCTTTCAGCTTCTTCACGTTCGCGAGCTTCGCGCCTTTCAGCCTCTTCGCGAGCTTCGCGCCTTTCAGCCTCTTCGCGAGCTTCGCGCCTTTCAGCCTCCTCACGTTCGCGAGCTTCTCGCCTTTCTTCACGTTCGCGAGCTTCTCGCCTTTCTTCACGTTCGCGAGCTTCTCGCCTTTCAGCTTCTTCACGTTCGCGAGCTTCTACTTCTCGCCTTTCAGCCTCCTCACGGCGTGCTTTAATATCCACCCAGGCCTCATCGACTTCCTCAGCCGACACTCCCTCATCCTTCATGATATCAAGGATCGCTTGCTTTCGTTTCGCACGGCCCAAAGTAATGCCGAGTTCCTCACAAATTTCGATGAGTTCCTTCACTTTAAGGTTCTCCATCGTTCACACTAGCCTCTTGCTGTTTGCCCCTGTTAAGAATCTACTTGCCGTACCCACTATAAGCCTACTAGCAAGACGCGCAAGCAATTTTTCACACTCCCGTGTTTACCCCCTCCGCATTAACTTTGGTTTCAAAGCACTTCAACTTTGCTTGAAACGATCAAAGCTCACTGCAATGCTTCACACAGCCCTTTCTCTAAACTACTACAACCTGAGCTAGAGTAGTCTGGTGAACTGAGGGGAAAACATCAGGCACTCACCGCATCGATGTCGCTGACGCCGGCCGATCCCGCAGCTGCCAACCACTGTTGAGAAACGACGGACCGATCCCGCCGAAGCCACCACTGTTGCGAAAGACGGCGACGCCAACACGGCCCCGGAGGCGCCACTGCTTTCAACTCCGCCGGGAAGGTCACCAGCCGTTTGGTAGCGTATGTTTCTCAGCTCGCGACTGCTTCTGCGCAGAGCTGAGGAGACGAGCGGACGAGACGACGGTGAGTTAAACAAGGTTTATGTACAGCATATATACAGAGGCATTACAATTTCGGCACTGGGGCCGGCAGAGACTCGAAGAGCCGAGCTCCTCTCTCTAACACATAGGTCAGCCTTTCGCCTAAACCGCCGACTCACACACATGTCGGCACTCCGACACGGGGACTCCTCTCCTAGGATCTCCGATCGCGACGCGCCGCAGGGCTTCTTTTATTTACACCGGGCCCAACTAAAATGTCCAATCAGAAGCGCCGCTGGTCTTCCGAGCAGGCTCCTCCAATGGGGTTCGCCGCGCGATGCGTCAGGCCACCAGACATGAGGACGCCGGCTCGCTGTCACGTGCGCAACTGACTCAATGCACGTG